CTGCAAGTTGCTTATTGTTCAGTAGACGGGCATATGGGGTGAACATTTACATCAGGTAGATACACTCCTTGGCAATCAGTCATGGCAGAACAGAAGGGGCAGTGTTTGCACAGGGAGCTAGGATGGTAGTGCATGGGAGGGAAGGACACAGGAAAGAGGCAACTGTGGGAAAGAAGTGGGAAGAGAGCTCTTCCATTGTGGGAAATTGCAGTCATGAAACAAAGTGTATGAACTGCTATATGGGAAGTGAATTTGCTCTGTAAATTTTCACCCAAATCACAATTAAATTTTTTTTTTTTTAAAAGTGTGTTCCAACTCATGGTGACCCCGTGTGTTTCAGAACAGAACTGTGCTCCATAGGGTACTAACTTTTTAAAAAATCAGATTTGAGGATTGTTCACCTTGCTGCTATAACTGTACCTTTGAATAGTATTATTCTATAGATTTTTAAAATACTAGTATCTAATAGCAGTTTGTCAATTTATATATAGAAGGGGTGTTTCAGTATGTTGAAAATATTTTTTTCTATTAAATTTACTTTCTGAAGGGGAAAAAAGAAAGATGCTTATTGTTCAAACCTTCCAAAAACCTACATTCCCTCTCTCTCTCTCATTTACTTAATACCATCTTCTTAAAAATTATGTTGTTATTGTTGTTATTTGTTATTTGCCGTTGAGTTGGCCCCGACTCGTAGCAACCCCTCCTTGGGTTTCCAAGGCAGTATCACTACGGAAGTAGGATTGCCCAACCTTCCTTCCGAGGAGTGGCTGGTGGGTTTAGTAAAATATGTCGGTGATAGAACATTTGTAAACTACAGGACATAATAAAGGTAATGAATCATCTTTGTTCTCACAGCACAACTATAGCAGAAACAAATTTTATTCTGACTTCTGTAGATTGGTCATTAGGGCTAAATAAGGTACAGTCCTTGCCCGTAATGAACATAAAGTGTACTAAGGGAAAATGGACCAAGAAATGAGGGCAGTGAAGTCTCCTAAATTTAAAGTACCTCTGAATTTTATACACTTTTGGTTTAATAAGTGCAAATGCTCTCAATAAATTATGTTGTATATTTTATTTTCAGTTATGTTGCACTAAATTTAGTATCTTTAACACTGGTCTTTTTTTTAATTGTAGGTGAAAGTTTACAGAGCAAATTAGTTTCCCATTCAACAGTTTACACGTCTTGGTTTTGTAACATTAGGTGAAATTCCATCAGTGTAATGGCAGTCTTCCTGCTTCCTGGAACCCTTCCTCATTTCCATTCACCCATCTTTTCTGCCCCTTCCTGCCTTCTGCGATTTGTTTTGGGCAAATGCTGTCTTTTTTGGTCTCAGATGGTTGATTATTCTGAGTGTTACTGTTCCTTTATAAGCTTGTCTGTTGTTTGGCTACAAGGAGGTCCGCACAAGTGGGTTCAGTTCCAGATTTGAAGGGTGTCTAAGAGTAACAGTCTCTTATCTGACCAATAAATCTGGTCTTTTTTTATGATTTTGAATATTTTTCTACATTTTTCTCCCCTTCTGTCTAAGACCTTCTGTAGTTCCAATCAGAGCAGTTGGTAGTGGTACCATCTATTTCTGGTCTCAGGGTAGTCTGGAGACTGTGGTAGGTGTGGCCCATTATCCTTTGGACAATATTGTTGAGTCTTTGATTTTATTTTCTTTTCTTCGAGACGGGGAAAGACCACTTTTTGAATCTTACATGGCTACTACTCACCGCAGTAATGGTAGAGCATTGTCTTTGTGAACTGTGTTATGCCAATTGATGTAGCTGTTTTCCAAGACTATGGTCCTAATAACACTTTTCTTTCTGATTTGAATTTTTCTTTATTTGCTTCCCCCGCCCCCATTTATCATTACTAAAAACAGCAGAGGATAAGAGGTGAGGGAGATGAGCCATTGTGTTTTATGTGTTGTATATCACTTTTAATAAAATGAAGCTTTTGTTTTATGTGAACTGTGAAAACCTTGTATTTGAAATGTCACTGGCTATGCTAAGTATAGATTAGTGCATCTCTTGCTTTTGTTTTGTTTTTGTTCTCAGGTTGGTTGCCAACTGACAGAGGCAATAGAATAGATACCTGTACCACTCATGGTTCAACAGGTGCATTCTATTCACCATGATCTGAATTAAGCCAATAATTTGTCATGTCATTTATGTTTTATCCTTTTGTTTAAAGGTTATTTATTGAAGAGGTTCTTATGGTACACAGCTTAACAACATGATGTATTTTAGAGCTAGATTGAAAAACAGTCTGTAATTAGTCTACAGATAATTAGCACTGTCAGGATACCACTTTCATCTTATAATCATTTATGCTTACAATGAGCTAAATTATCTTCAGTAATTTACCTGGCATGTCTTTTATTGGTGCACACACTTGCTCTCTCTCTTTTTAAGTAATAGATGAATCAGTTTGAGAATTCAGAAGGTGCCAGTAAACTTTCTACCAAGAATGGCCAATGTTAGGATGTGGTATTTTAAAAACAGGATGTTTATTTCAGATTAGTAGTGTCGTACCTCTCCCCTTTTTTCTTCAAAATGTTATTTACCAAGATTTATCACAACAATAACATCAAAAGTTTATATGACTCTTTAGGCATTTCTTAATAATAAATAAATAAATAATTGTCAGCCTTTTTATTTTTTAAGTATGTTCTCAAGATTCAGTGTTAAGAGGAAATATTTGTAAATTTCTGAAACAAAATTTTAGTAAAGTATTTGATTATTCTTTTTTTTTTTTTTTTTAGGATTTGGGTGAAGATTTACAGAGTAAATTCACTTTTCATACAGCAGTTCACATATACTTTGTCTCATGTCATTGACCAAAATTTACAATGCAGCAGCTCCCCTCCCACTTCCTCCCCATAGTTACCTCCTCCCAGTGTCCATCCCTTCATACTCTTCGAGAGGCCCATTGTCTGCCAACCCTGTATATGATCTTGGATACACTCTCCATTTAGACATACATAATTGTTTAGCTTGTTCACCCATCTATCCGTCCCTATACCCATGTTTGCTTTCATTGACAACTCAGTATTGTATTTACAAAGGGGTTCATATTTGTTGTTTGTACTGCCCATGTTATTTGATTATTCTTAATTCCTATCTTTTGATCTGTAATCTGATCATATTCAACTGTTTTAATCTATATATATTTTGTAATTGTTTCTGTCTTGAATTCTTGATTTGTCTAAAGCAAACTGTATTATTCGTGTGAGCTTCCTACAATTTATTGCTCTTTGATAATTGTTAAATACAGTAACATTCTTGTGGAAATAAAATGGTTTTCATAGTCATCTGCTTTTAGTCTTTTTATAAATAGCCTGTGCTATTGCACTGTCTATTAATGATAACTAGTTTTGTTCAGGGTAAGTAACACTACATTAAAAGTATATTTATCTTGAAATGTGAAAAATAAAGTTTATCTTGGAGTCTATAAAAATATGTCAAGTACAGTCTTTATAATTCCTTCTAGTCTTTTCATTGTATCATTTGTTCTGTTGTATTTGATACTCAGAGTCAAACTTTAATAATGTTTGAACTTTGCTGTTATTTTCTTTCTACTTCTCAGAATGTTTCTCTACTTCATTTAAAAATTGAGAGATTAGACTTTTAGGAAATTGTTAGTCTCTGATTTTATTTCTCCTTTGGCTTCCTCTTCAAGCTAGGAGAGTGAGATTCTTGTGATAACTTCTAAAAGTAAAATTGATTCAGCTTTTAAGGCATTACTGTTTTATTTAGGTGTGTTTTTGTATTTGTTATCTATGGCTGCATAAACCATCAACCTGAAATGTAATGGCTTAAAACAACGAGAATCAATTACCTTATTATTTCAGTGGTCAGGATGCACAGTGCAGCTTTACTTGTGGGCCTAGTTCAAGGTCCCTTACAGGCAGCAGTCATCTCAAGGCTCCACTGGGGGAGGATCCGCTTCCACTGTGATTAATGTAGCTCTTGGTAACCAAAAAACATTGCCATCGAGTCGGATCCAACTCATAACGACCCCTCCTTGGGTTTCTGAGGCAGTATCACTAGGAGCTCTAGTAGTGTAGTGCCTAAGGCACTTGACTGCTAACCAGAAGACTGGTAGTTCAGATCCATCAGCCACTCACTCCTTGGAAAGAAGGTTGGGCAATCTACTTCTGTAGTGATACTGCCTCAGAGACCCAAGGAGGGGTCACTATGAGTTGGGTCCAACTCGATGGCAAATAACAACAGCAACAACATCACTACAGAAGTAGATTGCCCAACCTTCCTTCCAAGGAGTGGCTGGTGGGTTTGAACCTCCAGCCTTCTGGTTAGCAGTCAAGTGCCTTAGGCACTATGCCACCAGCTGTTGGTAGGCTCCAGATATTTAATGGCTTTTGCCTAGAGACAGCTTTGCTGCCTGAGCCTCTTCATAGGACAGCTTACAATAACTCAGTTGTCTTCCTTCACTTCAGAGCCTAGGAAATGAGAGAACACCAAGACAGAAGCCAGAGTCTCTTTGTACCCTAATCTAAGAATTGACATCTTAACACTTCTGCTTTTTTCTTCAGTAGAAGCAAGTCACTAAGTTTAGCCCAGACTTAAAGATGAGGCGATTATACAAAGGCTTGAGTGCCAGGAGGTGGGAATCTTTGAGATCCATCTCAATGGTAGCTAGCACATCTATTAGGAGTATTTTGGAACTTCTCAAACTTTACTACTGTTATGATGTTGTCTTCACAGAATTGTGATGATAAAACTCCCTGCTCAGATAAAACTCCCTATGCTTTGCTTGCTGTTGTCTCACATCTTGAATTAATCTTTTTATATAGAATTAGATTCCGGGAAGGGGCGCAAGCCAGGACAGAGATAAAGGAATGTTCATTCGCAGTTTTGCTTTTACAGCCTTTTCTATTTATTTAGATAAGAAGCTTTGTTAAAACTCTAGGTACTAGCAAGGAAGTGTACAATTGGGAATATTTTAGGCTCGGTTCATTATGTAAATTCTAATGTTTGTTTTGTTTCAGTATTGGTAAAGGTTTCCAAGGTGTCATGAAAAGATGGGGATTTAAAGGCCAGCCTGCTACTCACGGTCAAACAAAAACCCACAGGAGACCTGGAGCTATTTCAACTGGTGTAAGGATAAGTAGTAACGCTCTTTTTAATGCTGCATGTTCAACTTATGCACATGGAATATTTCAGTCTGTCCTTGAGATCAAGTCATATAATTACGCTCTGACCCCAGGTGGGTCTTGGTGCTATGTATGACACTTTTATGGGTCCTTGTCTTACATTCTTTTTAGCAGGAGCCAGACTTGAATCATTAGTTGTATCCCACATCCTTCCAACCAGTGTTCTCATTCTGCCAGCTTTCCCTTTCCCGTCTCTGTCCCGCATCCTACACTCTGAAGTTTGCTGCAGAAATAAGAGATTAGAATGCCTTTCCATCTGGCTCCACTGGTTCTTTCACAGATTTGTTTTGGCATTAAAAGAGACAGTTGGGGAAGTTTAGTAAAGACATTACCACAGTACAAGGGAAACATGGTAGAAAAGAAATGGAGAAGTAAAGAGTAAGAGCATAGGAAATAGAGATAGACCCTTTCTAGTGCTAACCCAGCCAGACTCCGCAAAGATACAACCTAAAGTCCCAAGGGAGTGCTGTTGTTCTTTGGAGCATCAGGGTAATTCAGGCTCAGTCAAAAGAGACTGGTACTGAATTCTACTTCATATATAATGAGAGAAATGCAGATTAAAGCTACCTTGAGTTACTAATTTCTCACCTAGCAGATTGTATTATCAAACTGTTTGATTTTTGCTACTCTGTTGGCAAGAATGTGGAGAAACAGGCACTGCCTCATGCATTGCTGGTAGGAATACAAAATAGTATAATTCTTATGGAGGGGAATTTGACAATGTCTAACAAAACTACATGTGCATTTACCTTTTGACACTGCAGTCCTACTCTGAGGAATTAACCTTGAAGATATTCTCCTCACAATATAAAACATGGCATTTGCACAAAATACTCAGTGCAGTATTATTTGTAATTGCAAGTATAAATGTCCATACCTAGGATTTTGGATGAATAAAACACTGTAATACATTTATCTACTTAATTGACTATTGAGGGAAAGGGAATAAAAGGTTGAGAAGGTCAATGTGAAATGAAAAAATTTTTAGGCTGTAAGAAAATACACATTTACCTACTTGTTTTTGCAAAAAGAACTGGAAGAATAAACTAGAAACTAATGAGATTTGTTGCCTGCAAGAGCTGGGTAAGAATGGTGTGGAAGGCCTTATGGGTAGCAAGAGTGACACTTGCCTGCGTATACTTTTATTATAGTTTCTAACTTTTGAAACCATGTTAGTGTTTACATTTTTAAAATAACATAAAAACATGGATGGGGGGAATCCAAAATGGAATATAATTAGAAAATGAACCTAACTGTATTTCCAATGAATAACAATAACTATACTGGGGTAGGTGTGTGCATTCAAATAACTTTTGATCTCAGTACTTTATCTTATATATCATGAGTCTAAATTAAAAATTTACTCTGAACAAATGTGGGATTTTAGTTAGAAGGTTTCTTTTTTTCAGTGGTGTAGGTTTAGCAGTTCTGAAATTTTTCTAAATTGTATGATTAGGCAGATGAGTAAATATATGGATAATGGGAACCTCTCTCTCAGAAAATGGAGTTAAACTATGGAAAGGGAGAAATTAGAATGACCCCTACAGTACTGAATTAGCATTAGAAGTACAGTATGAATTTACTGTGTGGGGAGAAGTACAGGTAGATATATGTATGTACCTGTATGTATATATTTTTGTCTTTATGTCTTAGCTCTGTCTGCTGAAAGGATCTGGAAGCAAAGACATTCCAGTAGCCATGAGCCCAGATCTTGATTTCTAAACATCATTCCCCACTGAAAGGGTTCCTTGGAAAAATGGCAGATTTTAGGTATGAGACAGAAAGAGTAAAAGAAGAACCTGAAACATCTCATGCAAGAAAGCACAGATGTGCTTTAAAAATAATGAGCACATCAAAAGGACACAGGAGCAGCTTAAACACAGGCTCCCACTAACAAAACTGAAACAGTTTGAATTTCAACTAAAAAAATATTAATAGTAACAAAATTCATGGAATAAAATTATAGTCTATTAGTTCACATTGACAAAAATAAATGAGTGAATAATAGGTAAATAAAGAAATAGGAGAAAGGGGAAAGCTTTTCCTTGAAATGTAATGCCAGCTAATGTAGAAGGCTTTAGGGTACACTACACTCATTGACAGCCATCATAGTAATTGGTTCAGCCAGAAATCATCAATAGGTGCTGAAATTAGTGAGTGAAAGCTTGATGGGGAAAAGATGCTTATGTAACCCTGAAATAAATTACCTATTAAGTAAAAGGAAAAACTAATAACTTTAGAATGAATTAACCTAGTGAACACAACCTAAACTACATGGTCAAAGCTATACATCACATAATTGGACAAACTAACATAATATTCTTCCTGACAGGATTCCTGGAAGGAATCAGTATTGCTTCTGTGGTGCATCCCCTGAATCTAATCATGGGGAAACATTAAGACAAACCAAAAGTGACCAATATTCTACAAAATAATTGATCAAGTCCTGGAAAACAAGGAAAAACTTAGAACTATTTCAGATTAGAGGAGACTAATAAAATAGGAGGGAGCTCTGGTAGCGTAGTGCCTAAGGCACTTGACTGCTAACCAGAAGGCTGGTGGTTCAAACCCACCAGCCACTCCTCGGAAGGAAGATGGGGCA